TAAATTAATAATATGTTTTTATATTTTATATTCACAAAATTATTTATTAATACAATATATTATATTATATTATTAATATAAGCTCACAAAAACTATACCAATAACATAATTTTATTAGAAATAATTTATACTAATAAATACTAATTTAATATTAACTTATAAATAAATAATTTTTTTATAATATTCAAAATATATAATAATAAAACTACGTACAATAGATATATAGCTATATATATATAAGGTCTCAGGATATTGTTATTCTTATTCTTATAATATTCACTAGTATATTTTTGTGTGTATTGCATGTATAAATTTTTAAAATGTAATTGAAATTTTAAAATATATTAAATAAAATAAAAATAAGAGATAAAAGCGTTATTATTGTCAAACAACAACAATATAGATGACAAGAGATGTATTGATTATTATCAATAATGAGAATTTGATTTATATATAAAAATAAATTAAGAGTGTGTTTCATAAAATATTTAAGTTGGCTTGTAGATTATCTGACTAACTTATAAGCTATAAGCACATTTGATCAAAATAATGGTTTTTAGTAAGCCAGTTTATTTCATTATCTTCTAGCATTTTTCATATGTTACTTGAAATGGTATTTGATCTTATAGATTTTTTTTTTTTTTTCACTTTTGTTTTACTATTTAATACAATTTTCTTTTATCATAATAATATCATTGTAAAATATTAGATGATGGATTTATTTTATTTATTAATTTTAAATATTATAATAAAATGTAATTTAAACGATGTTGGATATGAAATTTTAATTATTGTATTTTTCTATTTTTTAGATTATTTTAAATATTACATCATTTAATTCAACAAATTATCTTACTAACTTTAAACTAAAAGGAAACTTTTAAATTTTCTTGTAATTTTTAAATTTCAGCTAGTTTATATATATATATATATATATATATATATATCAATTTAAAAATGCGCTTAAAAATACAAACAAAACTTAAAACTATCGCTTTCTAGTACTAAAAAATATTTTTCTTAGTTTTATCTAAAGAACAGATATAAGACGAATGAAATGATTTGTTTAGAAGTTAATAATTACGCTTAAAAGATTTCAAAACAAAAATGAGGCTTGTCGTGTTTCTCATGAATGATTGAAGCCTCCCACATTCAATTTGTTCAACCTTTTTTTAAGAAAAACTGTCCGAAGTCATTCAAAAAGTCAAATAATATACTTAGAAACATGAATTGCAATCATGAGTACAACTTGCAATGTCTACCCTTTTTGTTTTACAGAATTTGAAGGATTTTTTAAAAACAAAACTAGTGACTAATTTATAGAACTCGCCAGTTTTTATTTAATACACGTGAGAAATAAATTAAATGAAAATTTCTACAAAACATTAAACATAAGCATTAAGCAGTCACTTCAAGAGAGGGTTTTTATTTTTAAATTTAAAAATCTGAGTCGTCTAATATTAGAAAATCAACTTAATAATCAACATTGAATAACTATTTAGTATGTAATGCGTAATTTTTGAAAATATTTGAATTTTAACCCAATATGTAAAACCAAATGCATTTATGTACACGCAATTAATCACTGGAATTTAAGATCTCTGCCATATCCATTCACCGAAATCAGATTAGCGATTCGTGGAAATATTAGATATTCATATATACATAAACTTCAAGACCTTGATGTAATCCAATTGTACTATTAAAAGCAGATTGCTAGCTAGGCACAAAGATTCTCAGAATTATAAGTGTCTCCACTATAAATATTATATAATCAATCAAAGGACACACCCACACTGCTTTCTAACAAGAAAAAACGTTAATAATATATGCTTTAATGCACTGTTATGAATATGCTGCTTATTATTAGATAAATTTATATAAGTCTCATTAAATAGATTAAAATCATTTAATAGGACTTATATAAAATTCTACTTCATAATAAATACTAATACATTAAAAAAGTGAAAAGTTGTGTTGTTACTGTTCCTTTTTCTAAACTGATGAGAGAAGCAGCAAAAGATATATGCTAGCCCACCAATTTGGAAGAGTGTACGAACACGAATTTATTAATGAGTGACTGCTGAAGAGAACCAACTATATATGTATATATATAACTGCTGAAGTTTGAATGCAAGATAAAGCAAGGCATCACTGACCGTCATATAATTAATGAGTATTATATATGTTGTTTGGCTAAGAGCAGCTTACAAATTCCCGAGTAAACAAAATAGAAACTTTAAAAAGGTGCAACAAATTATCGATTGAAAATAGAAACCAAACCTCCAATACACTGAGCCTTGCAAAGAAGATAACTCCTCCATTTCGATTAATTTGATGCTACATTATTCTGCAAGCAGATACATTCATCGCTTAATAGACATGCATTGATTAGAATTATTTGTCCAAATCTCTTTCGCTCTGAATGACTTTGTGCTTACAATTCAAAAAGATAGAAGCACAAAAATAGTGAATCGGTTACCAAAAAAAGAGTGAAGTAATCGATCTGTAATCGATCAGCTCATATATCTCAAAAATTAATTCACATCTGTAATATATACCCTTTGAATTAGAACAATTAATCATGCTTCACGCATTGCGTTAGTAATTAACTAAAATATAATAAAAGAAGAAACAAAAGCAACTAAGTAGGATTTCTTCAAAAGCTGCAGTAGTTAGGATGTTTATGGGCCATAATAGATATTCCTTCTCTATCAGTAACCCGTAACTTCTTTTGTTTGTTTTGGTGCATATCGATTCTGTACTTAAAGATTTCAGCAAAGATATGCTTACCCTACATGGGCCAGTAATATGTAACCTAGTAATTCAAAGAATAATTCGAACATGATACATTACCAAACATCAATCTCTTTGATGAGCTTTATACATAAGCTGGTATATATCTCACATACTGCATCTATATAGAATTAAGCTTGATAAAGATATTATACTCTATATATAAATTTTATTCAATCTATAACTTGTGTAGATGGGGATAAAAATGAAAGTTCGAAAAGATATAGAGAGGGTGCATGCATGCACCTTAATTATCTTTGAACAAGGAAGCCCAAGTGAAAATCTGATTACTCGATTATCAAAAATCTCAGATTCCCAACACAAAAGCTGCCGACAAATAGTTTAGACATACTTTGATCATAATACATGCAAGAGAAAAACCCTAACTTGCCACCAGCATGCCACACTGACAGAGCCTGTGCAGACAAATAGCCGTACAAACTGAATATTCCCTTGATCTTTTCTATAAACTACACATGATTTCTGTATGAATGTTGTATTATAGGAAGCATTATATATGCTGAAGGAGCCCTCACCAAAGTTTTACGTAGCTCAATAATCTATATATATATATATATATATATATATATATATGCTTAAGGAATCATGTGTAGAATAAGTATTGACAAGTGTGTGAGTGGAATAATCGCTTCAAGCCAAGAGCTTGTCTTCAATGAGCTGTGTATTATCTATTTTAATGTAGAAAATAGGATAAGAAAGCTTCTCATTCAAATTGCTAATGAAGTTCCATTAAAATAAATAACCGACAAGAACATGTGAGGTGATGGGAGGAAACACAAAGCTCAAGCATTTGCCTAACTAGACAATAATAAACTTCTTAAAAGTATTGAGGAATATTATTATTTTTATAACTAAGAACAATATAGTTATAAGAATAGGAATATAAGTACTGTACCACCGAATGAAATGCTAGACAACATGATCTAAGCAAGGTATATGACCGATAAAAATCACATATCTACGTCTCCTGTCCTCATGCCTCTCTCTCCCAAGTAGAAAAACGACATTTGATTGGAAAAATAACATTTTTTCCACTTATTTATTAGTTTTCTTTTGTTAAGTTGTTATTTTTTCAATTAATTTGAATAGACAAGAAAAGGAACACACAAAGGGGACATATTTTGAATAACCGTACATGACGTGACAAACAAGGTGGAGAAAAAACCATGTATATATCCTTTGCATGGAAAGATCTTCTACATCAAAGATAGCAATAAGTGGGGTATATATGGAGGTGTGGATGGTGGCAAATGTTAAGGTTAAGAAGGTTAACATAACATTAAATATATAATTAGCTGCAGGTTTCTTCAACATTTACTCGAAAGAGATTCCATTCAATCATGACTTCGTTAGTATCAAATGCTTTCAATCATTTGTTTATTTGATGCTTAGAAACTTAATTAGACTATGTCATCTCACCTTGAACATTTATGGGACACAAAATCTGCAGAATCTTAAAAGAGCAAAATTTATGGAAAAGCTAGCATGCAAATAGCGAATATTTAATTAAAGTTATACAGAACAGTGTTTATTGTTATATAATTAGTTCCACGTCAGTGGGTATTAGCTAGAGCGTATGCGCGCAGAGTGAGTAACATGATATTTTCGAATTATATATATATATATATAAACAGTAACATAATCTTTCAAATCTTACTTAATTACTATTATCAGCTCACATTTTTACCACCTAAGGAGATTGTGAATTAATAGTGTGGGTTAAATAATAATATTTTCCAAATATGTGTTTCATAAGCTAATTGAACTCCATACAAGTATAATTCTTATTTTTATGTGGATAGGCTATCTGGTTCTTTATTTGTGTATAAGTATTAGTTTTTAACACTCTGCTGTCTTAGTTATCATTACGATTTTGTTGATCCATATTTATGAGTTATTTTAATATTTTATTTTGTCTAGAATCCATAAGTAGAGGCCCAGATAATATACACATGTTATTATAAACGAAATCACTTGGACTAAAATCCGTCAATGGTTTACTACATGTATAAACATAGTAGTAAGATTTAGGTTATGATATATATATATATGCAACACAAGTGGATCCAATAGCACCACATTGATAATAATCATCCTAGTAAGCACAGTCTATGATCAAGAGTGATGACAAGTGAGATTAATTGGTTAATTACCATGACTTGAAAGGTCCCAAAGGGACGAATTCAAGAGAAGTGCATGGTGGAGCTTGATTCATCATTTCCCTTGATTTGATTTGTGCCCTTCTTTTTCTTCTTGTAAGGGATACCTCTTGCCTTAGCTTGACACTCTCTAACCTCTTTGAGATACACACGAATGGAACCACTTGCAAAAGGATTAGTCTCTGGGGGCCCACCATTTTCCTCATAAGCAGCCCTGAGCCTCCCTATGAGAGCATCAAGGCTTCCCCAAGCTTGTCTAAGAGGGCATGTACATGGTGCTGGAGGTTCTGGTTGCCCATAGAACATGCACCCTTGAAGGTGAACCTTGGTCTTTCCAAACTGATCCAGATACCGAAGGAAATCCAATACGTGGTTGCAATTGCACTGAGAAAGTGGAACTGGGGGTCTCTGATTCTTCAAGTATTGCCCAAAAGTGTTCCAATCCCTTCTCTTTTGAGATTCATAGCGGCTAAGTGTCCCTTGATTTTGTTGTTGTTGATAATCTATTGGAGGGCTTGATCCTTCTCCAAAATCCTTCCCACTACCACTTGCAGACATTGTGGCGCTGAATGATGAAGATCGAGAGGTTAATTTGGCTTTTGTAAATCAAAGGGAGAAAAAAAGAAGAGAGGTGAAAGGTGAAATGAACAGGGAGTGGAAGATGGAGATCACGTCATTGGGCTAATGAGTAGACATTTTATGGGCCATATTAGTTGCTTTCTGTTTTCATCTTTTTCTTCCCTCTTTCATATTTATACTCTTTTTTTCCTGTAATGAGTCTAATGACATTAGCATCTAACTATACGTCTCTCCTATAATCATACAATTATTGTTCGCCATTTGTCAACATAGATGAACCTTATCGCCTTATTATGAAATCTATTTACCATTATTGCCCTAACTATATCAATCCAATAGCAGCCAGCTTCTAACAACTAATCTTTTTGAATGTTGTGCATCTGCACAGCAGGGGCGGTATATAATTGAACAAATTAATAAATAAAGGGTTTTTTTTAAGTGTTTTATATTACAATACATTTTCATAATAATCTTTTATTTATCTTAGAAACATGACTTATATATCCTATTTATTTTTTCTTTCTTTTTTTCTCTTTCTTATAAAAATGTTAATTTCAATTTCTTTAGGATTGAATTTAAATATTTAATAATAGTAATTTTTATTATATTTTTATTTCTAATATAATAAATATTTTTAATAAAATTTTACTATTTTTAAATGCTTACCTTCATTTTTCAGGTTTGAAGTAAACAAAATTGATTAAAAAATACATGAATAAAACTTAGAAGGGTGTTAAAAATTAAGTTTATGGTCTTTGATTATTTAAAAAGATGGAATTTATGATTAAAAATTATCATTTTATTTTATATTCAAGTTTTATTCTTATTTTTTTGTCTTTAATAATTAATTATTTTAAATAAAAAATAATTGTTGCACATAACTTTATATTATTTTTTTATAATTTTATTCTATAAAAAAGTGGTAACTATTTACCATCTAAATAAAATAAATTATATAAAAAAATTATCTATCATATTTAAACATAAAATTCATTTTATATAACCAATTATCACAATAATCAGTTATAAATATAATATATTATTAAAATAATTCAGTTTTTATATAATCTAAACATGGGCTTTTTTAAATATAAAAAACATCAAAATAAATTTTATTCCTTTTAGCAAGTTTTTTACATACATAATTATAAATTGAATATTAATAGTATTTTTAAGGTATATAATAACAAATTACCTATAATAAAAAAATCAAATTATAATATATATATATATATATATTGTTATTTAATCGTAATGTAAATATTTTAGAAGTATAATTATTTATTTATTGTATTATTTTTAATCACTAGATTTCTTTAGTGCAAGACAAGTATAACTTTCACTAAATATAATTACTAGCAACTTAAAGGCATAATGATTCTTGCATATATACAATAGCCTATGCCAAACACGAATCATTTCATAATAGTTTATCTAAGTTATTTTACAGATAAATAAATGTATATTTTATAAGATGAATAATTTTATTTCTGAAAGATTAATAATATTTTTTATATAAAAAAATAAGTAAAATTTTTATATAAATTTTAATATATAATGTTTGAATTCTATTATTAGTTAGTTTAAAATCTCGTGATCCAACAAAATAAAAGGGTTGAAAGGCTGGTTAAAAATATAAATAAATCGTGGTTTAACTTATGTAAAAGAGATATGTTATGTTGACGTTTGAGGTCACTGATATGATTGTCATTGTCAAAATGAGTGGGGGAATGTACATAGAAACCCTAGAGTACACACATTATTGGGTGTAAGAGAAATTATATGAGAATTGTTACGTACACAGACAAAACAAACACAGCAATGACAGATGTGCTTACAAGTTACAGTCATGAGAGATGGAAAGGACCAAGGCAGAGAAATAAAGTAAATACAACTGTATATATTATTAAATTTTATGAATTTAAATGTTAAATAGTATAATGTTAATATATTAATTATATATGTTAAATTTTAAATCAATTAAATGGTTATAAATATATAAATTCATAATTAATATTTATTTATATTAAAAATATATTATATGGTAAATAAAATTATTTATAAAGCATTAATCATTTTTTATTTATATAAATTTGATTCATTTTATAGAAAATTCAATTCAATAATTAAATAATAAAATTTAATGTTTTAAAAAATTTATTAAATAAATTAATTTTAATAAGAATTATTTTTAAATAATTTATTTTTTATGCATATATATATATTTATTTTAAAATTAATTTTGATAAAAAATTTGCATAATAATTTTTTATAAATATTAAATTTTGGGGAAATAACCTTTTGAGGGCCGTACTTCTTTTAGGCTTTTAGCATGCAAGACCTTTTCTACAATCACCAGAACCCTCTTTTTTTCAAAAAAAAAAAAATTGAATCAGTTTGTTTTAATGTCTTCTACAAGTAAAAAAAAAGTTCATGAAACTTTTTTTAAATTCATTTTAATTAATTAATTTTTAAAAATTATAATAATTTTAAAAGGATAATTAATTTATAAAACACATATTTTAATTTTGAAAACTAATTAATTACAAAACATGTGTTAAACAATATATTCAAAACAATATATTTCTGACATGTAAAAATGGCTTCATACAATTAGCTTCCAGATGCATAAATTTTTATTTTTTTAACTAATATATTTAGACAATTTTAACATTCTCCTGTATAAATATATAAAATATCTCACCACGTATCAACTTTTAGATGCACTATTCTCTTTGACTTATATTATACATTATATTATTTTCAGTATTTAGATTTAATTCAAATTATGAATCATTTTAAATATATTAGTAATATATTATAATTTTTAATTATATATTTATTTATTGATATTTTACTTAAATAGATTCCTAATTATATGTTAAAAATTCAATAAGAATCTTTTTATTAAAAAAATCATGTTATCATAATAATTTATTTGATAAATAATTTTTTAAAGAAGTGTATAATACATTAAAAGAAAAGTGGGATATCTTTTATGAAAGGTTTCAACATCATTAAGATTTGACGTGAGAAATCTAAGTTATTGTATCAACAAAAACTGTTATGTATTATAGAAATAGAAAAAAAAAAGTGTCATTTTTGTGATACAAGAACTAAAAAAAAATTAAATTTAAATAAAGATGTAATATCAAAGATAATAATAATTTTTTCCAAGTTCATGTTAATTTTTTTATATACATATTTTAAACTCTTGTGATTTCAAGTAAGGATTTATATTAAATAACTTAAAGTGAAAGATTCACATTAAAGATTAAAGTAAAATTATTATCTGAAAAAAAAGATTATTACATTTTAAATAATTATACAGGTGCATTTATTTATTAATTAAAAAAGCAAAAATTTTACTTTAAATAAACTAAATCTACTAATAAATAGTTATGAGTGTGAGCCTTTTAAATTCCCAAATTATTGTAACTTATTTCCATTTTCTGGAAATTAAACAAAGAAGAGACGATTAGGTGAGGCATGTGATGCAATTTTGGAACTAATATCCTAGTGTCACATTTTTTAACATAAACAAATCAACATTTAATTCTCTCTTGCCATGATTTAGGAGAGAAGGAAGCTAAGTACAGTCAATTTGAGGGAGATGACAAACCGAGCAATCTTGTGAAATGGGGGACCCATGCAGCTGCCCTTAACCAGCAAGTCTACTATACTAATATAATAATTAATTTTGATATTAGATATTATCAACGAGTGCTATTAAAAAATTAATTTTGATACATGGTAATGTAAAAAAATTATTTTTAATTAATTATTTATTATAAATAATAATAATTTTTAACAATATATTAATTAATAATAAGATAACAACATAAGATAATTCTACTGTTCAGCACAAATTGCAATGGAAATACTTGTAGGCTACAACAAACTATTCTTATAACTAAGAAGTTAAATTACTCTATAAACAATTTTCAAATAAATGCTTATTATTTAAAATTAATTTTTCATAAATTTTTAATTATTTACACGAGGTTGTTATATAAGTTCATACCCTTTAACATTCACTAATATTTAATAAATTATGCAAACCTATTTAAAAACTCAAACTATAAAATGTCTTTAATGATAATGTGTCCAATAAATTTCTATAATTTATCATTTTTAAGAAAAAAATATAACTTAGTAAAAAATAACAGTATCAAAACATTTGTTAAGGAAATAAAGATTTACTCAAAAATTTAAAAATATATAAGAATCCTCCCATATATTTAAAAAAAAAAAACAGAAAAATATGGCATACATAACAAGTACTGTTTATAAGTTACATTAGGGTTTGAGAGATTAATTGATCAGTTCATCTGTTTAGTCACTGTTCTATATTGGGGGGGGTTAAAAATATCTAAGGGGTATCAACATAGACAAAATAGCTAGCTGCTGTCAATAGGTTTTCTTGGTGAGAAAATAATGAATATCGTTCCTGAAAGTAGGGCTTAAACTTTTCTTCTTCTTTTTTTTTTTTTACATTTTTCCCCTTAATTATACATAGAAGGAAAATCTGAAGCATAATTAAATTTAAAAAACTCGTAAAAATAAAGTAAAGCTTTTACAAGTGCTACGAATTAGAAGAATAAGTCTCTAATTTTCAAAAGGAAAAATTAAACTAAAAATCAAATCAAATCACACATTTAAGTTGAGGGTGACAGGCTAATTATAAATTATAACAGTAATTAATAACCTTCTTGATACAGGGTGTATGTGACAAGCGAGTCGTCTTTCAAGGAGATAGCAAAGGATCCAGTTTTAGAGATATCGTTTGTGTGCATGACTTTAGTTTATTTTAAAGATTTTTTTTTTCAATTAGCTATAAAAAAACATTTTCTGATAAAAAAATTTGTTAAGAACTTTTGAAAAAAAAAAAAAGTTATTCCATCAAGAAGAAGAAAATTAAAGAATCTTCGGAATATGTCCAAGCAAGGACATGAGATACCATGAAAACACAATTTTTT